AGATGCCTTTGAAAAAACAAGTTTACATCCTATTCTTATGCAGGCCAGTGCTATGTGTGAGGTAATTTAAGGTGGTTCTGACAAGTGTCGTCTGCATCTTCATATCCGGTCACATGGGTGGCAAGCCACTCCCATCTGGTCACATGGGTGGCAAGCCACTCCCACAAAGGAGGCCACACCCACAGAGTAGGTTCGAACAATTTTTGAAACCCACCACTGGATAGCTGCTTCCTAAAGCTTGGTAGCTGGGGAAAATAACTAAGGGATGGCAGCCAGGTGTTCCAGAAGAGAGGGAACTGAGTGCTGCACAGCCAGACTCAAGACTTTTAAACTAGATTGTGGCCTTCAAGGACAATGAAGGATGCTGGCTAAGAGTTCCTGTTGATTCATGATAGCAGTAATGGCTAACCTTTTTGTGGTCACTTGCCGAAAGCACGCCTCCCCCCCCCCTGTGCATACGCATGTGAACCCCCATTTTGGGACTAGCAGGCCTCCCTGCAGCATCCTGGGAGCAGAAACAGGCCATGGGGGGAGCACACACCCCATGCCCCGTTCATGTACGTGCGATCGCCTTGCCACCCCACACATGCGTGCCCCCGCATGCACACACCTCCACATGTGTGGCAGAGATCAGGTGGCTGGTGGGAGGCATGCGGGCATGTGCAGTGGAGTTGAGCCGGAGTGACAACTTGCGTGCCTGCAGAGAAGGCTCTGTGTACCACCTGCGAGACACTTAGGGAGAGGTCAGTCCTGGATCTCTTGCAACTGTGCAATGATTCGAGGCTAATTCCCTGCTTGAGTCCTCCTCCCCTGGGTGTTTCCCAGCAGCTGGATATGCAACCTAATCTTTTGCCCCAAGCAGCAAAATTGCTGAAACCAGGTCTGTGTGGTATCTTTCCTCTTGTGGACAGTTATTCATGCATCTCTTGACATTAGAATAATCAGATAGCTACCTAATTAGTTCAATTTCAGCTGAGGAACACTATCAGTTAAACCTTCTATTGGCTAATACAAGTATAACAAACTTGTTTGTTTGTTTGAACAGGTCATAATAGGTTTGTTCATAGCACAAGCAAGAGATAAAACTGATCTTGGAATCTTTTTAATGCTCCTGGATGAGAGGAAGCTGATAGCTACAGACTGCTTGAGTGGCAGCAATAGCAACAGCACTTAGATTTATATACCGCTTTACAGTGCTTTACAGCCCTCTCTAAGCAGTTTACAGAGTCAGCATATTGCCCCAACAATTTGGGTCCTCATTTTACCCACCTCAGAAGGATGGAAAAGCTGAGTCAACCTTGAGCCTAGTGAGATTTGATCTGCCAAATTGCAGGCAGTCGGCAGGCAGCAGAAATAGCCTGCAGTACTACATTCTAACCACTGTGCCATCAAGATCCTACTATTGCCCAGTTAATGACCTACCTTATAGTCCCAGTAGTTCACCAAATGGGTCGGCAACACAATATATTTTTGTGTATTGTTCAAAGCCTGGTGCCTCTCAAAAAAGATAGACTACAGTGCCCTATTCATGGCAGAGATGCTTCACTCACAGTGACTGCAGCAGAACACAATTCCCACCCTCTCTGTGTCATTTCCAACTGCAGTGGCATTCGACCATGCCCACTGCCAGTGACTGAGCCTGCTCATGCTCTGTGCACCTGAATGTTATGAACTATACACCAAGTAGTTCCAGAGAAATGTGGGCATTATTAAAATTAAGCCCCACTAATATCCTCTCTCCAATTGAGTCTTTAGCAGTAACAAGCTCTTCCAGGTTAATTGCTAATACTTAAAGCTGAAACAGAAATGTGGAGATTAATTACAATGTAACCTGGAATTGTAAAGTCTTATGATAAGGCTCTGAATGAAAACCTAAACAATTGTCCTGTGATTAATGTTGGCATTTACTCTGAACTTTTAAAGTGGAGTTAATTGCAAATGATGGGAGAAACACAGAAGGTCTGCGCTCAACCGCCGCCCTAAAGTCTATGAACAATGTTGCAGTAACATCCTTTCCACAGATAAACAGGACCTGCTTCCAAATAATGATGCTTAAATATTCAATGGTAGCAACAGATGCTTCTCACTGTGCTAAGCAGAAGAGAAACAGAGGTTTAGACTAAACAGTGTTGATAGTGGAGAACATGGTTCTCCAACATCATACTACAGCATCTCCATATATAATATGGATGAAGAGGGGCATAATACAGAGATACAGAGATAAAACCTCTGAGATTTAATCCTTCCACTTTCCAATTCAGCTTTCTAAGCAACCAAGACAAGGTCAGTGGAGGGAGGGAAGAAAGTAAACTCACAATGCAATGCATAAAAATACATATTTCACATTAAATGCTTTCAATTTAAATGCTAATTCTGGCACTTTTTTTTTTCCTTTAGTGCACAGAGTGATTCAGAAACCGGATGGAAATTATTTCTGAAGGTGTGCAATGTAAAAATGACCAGAAATCAACCAGCCTACTCATTGAAAGAATGATTTTAGTTGGGACTTCAACTACTTGGTGGCAT